GCTACAGGGGCTCCTGGCCGTACTACTAGGAGCAAGTAGCTACTAGTAACAAGAAGCTACTAGGAGCAAAGGACATCGCTACTAGGGGCTTTGTCCAGGCCATACGGTAAAAGCAAGAACACGATAGAACGAGAATCATCAGACATGCTGACAGGCACTGACAGTGAGACACACGCAAAGGTCATTATATAAGCGTACAATGCTGCAACGTGAATATTACAAGGGAAAAGAACAACACGAAGCGAAGATTGGAATGAATAGGGCACAGCTAGCAACCACTCTCATGCAGTTCGTGGCAAGGCTTACCTTGTCTACATGACGATTACATGGATTTTGCTGCTGGTCCTTCCACTCCTACCGTGGGTGCTACTGTCCACAGGTTGGAGCTGGGGCGTCGTGAGTGGGGTAAGAAGTCACAAGTTTGCGGCTCCTAGCTCTTGGATGCATCGATGTCCTTCATGGCGCTTAATAGGCTTGGTTTTCTTTATACTTAACAGAAAGGTGTCGTCATAAAATATCCTAGTCACCATACTATAGGAGGAGGATCAGTTGAGTGTTGCTTGCGAGTTGATTGTTCCATCAAGGCATCAAGGCAGTGAAGGCAGTGCTGGGTACCGACTACTGAAAATCTGCACGCAGCAGCAGTTTCCGCCAATGATTATGATCTATAAAATTGCTGTGGCGATGTGCAAAGTGAGTGTTTGTGGTGTTGAACCCTGATTTTATGCGTGATGATTTGTGAACCGGTGGATGCTGTGGTGTGTTTATCAACTCAGACCTTCACGCGCAACCCAAACTGTTTACGTGTCTCTATAATATTTCTCTGGAACTCTAGAAGTCACAAAGACTATTATACATGTGTTTGACCCCCTACCGCTCTTTACTTTTTCTCCAGAAGCCTTAACTGTTTTTTGTTTTGCTTTTCCTTCTAGAATGAGCAGAGTTCATTTTTGCAGAGTGGTCTCTAAAAGATGGATGTCAGACTGAGGCACTTCCGATTTCAATCGTGAGTGTTCAAAATGGTGGTTTGATGTGAACAGTGCCCGTCCTAATGTCATACATTTGCACTTCTGCAGCTTTGCTGCTTGAGTTGCACCATGGGGCCTGAATGAAACAAATTGCTGTGGCGGTCACAGGAACGGCTGGCTTTGAAATCTCAATGTTCGCGTTGCAGACTGCACGCTTTGGGCCATTGAGCCGCTGCATGTGTACAAGCGAGTGGCTGATGCTTGCTCTCTTCAGCACAGACATTAAACTGATATCGTCTTTGAATTCAGGCTCCGAGGTAGAGCTGGAGCTTGTGGCAAGAGCTATTGTGTGATGCAGTGAGATGCCCCTTGCATCTCGCCGCGGGGCGAACATGGGCCCTATGGAGCCTTTAGTCAATTGATTGCAGCTTTTACCACACTGTGATTCTTGCATGCTCTCTTTGGCAGGGAAGGTGCCGTGTAAAGACCTTATTATGCTTGCTGCAAACTTGAGTTTTACTGCTGGAGGAGTGGGTTTGATGTGCATTGACTCTTGGCACTTTGGAGCCACATTGCCGTTCAGCCCAGTCAATTGGTTGACAGCATGTTGCGGCAGCTGACTATCATCCTCGACCTTGAATCCGGTCGCTGGCAAAAGAAATTCATCTTGGTGTGCAAAGCAATGTGAGCTCAGGCCATGTGCGCTTCATTTCCTACACATACTGCAAAAAGAATCTAAACTAAATTTGACAAGATAGAGTCGATTTCTTTACCTTTGCAGTTGCAGTCACAACTGTTCATTCAACTTTTCGCCTAATTCTACTCCAAGCAGCTCTCATCAGCTCACTCTCAGTTGGATTCCACAGTTTATGCAAAAGCATCGCGTGCACGTTTCACGGCCTGATATGTGCGTTACCTATTTATGCCAACGCTTCATTTGGTAAGTTTCCAGCTGAGCTCTTTCATGCTGCGACGGCTCGAGGCTTTCTTGGTTGCTCGTGCTTTCTCAGGGTGTTCTAATCTGTAATCTATTTGATGGTCAGTGCAACACCAAATGTACTTGCAGCAACAAACCGGACGTGCAGGTGCAAACCTTCTGCCCCAGCGCCAAGAAGCTGTAGTTCGGGAACCGAGCAAGAGACGCCAAATTTGCCAAAAACACTTCTGTGTTGCGACATTTGATCATGAAATTGGCACTTGTTTTTTGTTGTTTTGAAATGTGCCAGATCAGGTTCATAAGCACAGTAGAAGACCTTAGTATGCTCGGCAAGGTTACTCTATATATATGTTTTAAATATAGACGATAAGCTTCCGTGTTACAGACATATATATATATATAGAAAGTAAGTAACAGTTGTACAATAACAGTAGCGTAAGTCACAGTTGTACAGTAACAATAGCGCCAGTGACAGTTGCACGGTAACATCATCAGTAGCAAAAGTCACAGTTGTACTGTAACAGTGGCGTAACTCACTTTTGCACAGTCAGTTGCAGCAACTAGCATTGTCATAACTTGAGGAAGTCTCGCACGATATGCTCATTCATGCTGAATGTTAATCTGTGAAAATGGTACAACATGTTTGTTTTGAAGCTTTCAGATGTAAAAAACATAGAGGAAGTCTCGAACATGTGTTTTTAGAGAGATAGCTGCAGGCTGTGACAAAACCTTTGTCTTCGCTTTGCCCAAATGGCGGTTGCGGAATGGGTTAACGGCGTTTCCTACTATGACTATCCGCACATTTTTCTGGTTGCGCTCGATGTTCAATCTCCGTTTTTTGGAGGAGGTCTTGCAGGACCGCTTTGCTTTCACGCCTTCAACTATCTTCAACTGTCATTCTTGCAAGGAGTCTTGCAGTAATTGTTTATTGTTCTATGATTTCTATGTTCAATTTTCAAGGTTGGAGAAAGTTTGGCACGAAAAGATTTCTAATTAATTTTGAAGCGTTGACTTTGAGATGTCGAAACTTGAGGAAGTGTTGCTGAGAACTGGCAGCTTTGCAGTGCGCACGTAGTACGTCAAGTAGCTTCTGGGAGTGTAAATGTAATGTGAATGTGGTATACGGAGCGTCGGGAAGCGAATGTTTCAGAGTTGGCAGCTTTGTAGTGCGGAGACTTGCTGGTGTGGCAGAATTTGAACTCTAATAGATGCCGGGAGCCCCTAGTAGCTTCTTGTTCCTAGTAGTAAGGCCAGGAGCCCCTAGTAGCGTCCTTGCTCCTAGTAGCGATGCCAGGAGCCCCTAGTAGCGTCCTTGTTAACTGGACTGCTGACAAGTTCAACATCAATATGATTACGGGCATTCTCCATCGTTTTACCATAAACACTATTGTTCATTGTTCATTAGTCTGAATGAATATTTCTCGAAATTGTTCTTAGCTTGTTGTATTTTTTCGGTATTAAATTCAATAAGTGGTTTAAAACCGTTTAAAATTGATTAAAGTAGTGTGTTCTATGAACTTGCTTAAGTTTCAATACGTGTTGTAATTAAATTTTAATGCTGATATGCTTGATATGTGAAGAACATACCGTTATTTTATCAGAACACGTTACCACCAGCCTGCGCTAAAACTGTAAATATTTCACTGTATTCTTGCATATCTAGTAGACTAGTGCAAAAACACTATATTTCAGTGAGTGTATTATACTAAATGCTTCAGTGTCTTCAGTGTCACATAACCAAAAAAACAAAAAAACAAAAAAAAAACTAAAAACAAAAACCAAAAGAAACAACCCAACCAACCCAAGACCCTCTGCAATCCATGAGTCTGTGTTTTTTTTCTTTTTTTTGTTTTTCAACAGGTTTTGGACACTGCACTCAGGAAAACCAAAAAGAAAACCTTTGGACCCAAGACCGTCTGCAAGCCATGAGTTTGTTTTTTTGTCTGTTTTTTTAGTTTTGCAATTTCACAAAATTCCTATGCCCATCCTGTTTGGCTCATAGTATTCCTTTTATCGTTCAATTTGCTTCTCTGCTATCTGTCGAGCCCATGGCTGTGAGGGACGGAATATTGAGTTTTGAAGAAGGTATAGGCAACTGGAGGATGACAAACAAATCAATTAACTTTCCAACTAATAAATACAAGTTTTTTCATAACAGTTTAATTGAAATTCCAAAAATCGAAAATGAAACAATAGATGTGGTGGATGAGTGGGACACCAAAGCAATATGTAAGCAAGTTGAAGAATTCAACCCATGTATGATCAGAGCAAAATTTGCGGGATCAGGCAAGTCATATATAGGACAGTATTTTAAGAAGATGGGTAAACATGTTTTATTCGTGGTGCCTCATAATAGGTTAAGTCAAGAAATAGAAGGTGATTCAACAACCTATAACATGTTCTTTAGAATCCCAGTTCATAAGGGGGATGAACTACCAGAGTTTGACCATCGTGAATCACAATTACAATGTTTAATGCAAAACAAAATGAAATAGAATTAAATGAGAAATAGATTGGAATTAAATTAGAATTGAATGAATAATATTAAACCAAAATCCATTATTCAAATTGACATTGATCTAGACCTAAGGTAGAATTGAATTAAAGATATTTAACCTAGGAATTAATCAATAGAACAATATTGCAATATTGATATAAAATTATGTTATAAATAATTCACTTTAATAAAAATTGCAAATTCACTTCGAATTCCAATAAATAGACTTTCAAATTCAATTTAGAATTAGATTGGAAATAAAAATATATTGCAAATTCACATATAAATTCAATTTGGAATTTAATATTAGATCCAGAATAATCAAAGATAATTACAAATACAACAAAACTAAATCAGAATAAAATTGACCTCTAATTTTTGATCATAATGAGTTTTAAAAAGACATAAACTTAATTTAGAATAATACATAAACTTAATTTAGAATGTAATTAGGTTCAATTTAGAATTGAAATAGAAGTCTATTACATATTCAAAACAAATTCAATTTAAAATTCATTGAGATCCAATTTTATTATCAATAAACATAGAAATGAAACAAATTCAATTAGAATAAATATTGATTTAGAATTTAGTTGAATTGTATTTAAGTCAAAATTCATAGAATTAAAATAGAATTGAGTCAATAACTATTTAGAAATGAATAAGAAATAATGCTCGTCCACATGAGAAGTTTTGGCTTTGGTATGAGCTGAAAACTTTAGACAGCAAGATTTGGCAGCTTGAAATGCTTAAAAAAGTGCACGCTCACAGTGACGAGCTCTCTATTTTATTCATAGCATTTAATACTACATAACTTATTTGTATGTTCATATCCGGCATTTTGTCGTTATGATATTTATGAAAACTACTTGAACATTTGATGACATATTCTCACTTATTGTCATCATTGCTGGTGCTAATGGGTAATCCTTATGTAAAGCATGCAGTTCTTAGGGAGATCTAAATCAACATCCAGTATATAACCTATGTCATCATTATCTGAATATATCATAGCGTTCATTTCATCAGACTTACCATAATGCCAATTGAGACTATTATATGGTAGTGTTTTGACACATAGCCACGACATAAAGATTATCAGCATCCAAGTAGCATAGAAATCGAAGGTAATGTGTTATCATGCCTTTTTTTCACATATTTGCGTGCGTTGAGAATTCCTCTCTCAAGCCTGTCTCTATCACTTCATACACACATCTCTTTCGGTTAAATATAGACAACCAATCGAATCGTAGTTAGGCAAGGTTATGTCATAAGCGGTGTGTAAACCATACTAAATAATCAAAAACATCAGTGAGCAAATAGACATGAGTCATTAAGTATACACCGCGATACTCACACATATAGATTGTTAACTTTAAACTATTCCATACAACCATACAACCTCAGCCCTGTTACATTTTTTAGTTGTATTTTCTCCATAAAGATGACTATATAAGTGTCCTTTGACTGGTAGTAGTTCCTCATCAAATTTACTGAACCAGTTCATACAGACCTAAGGATATATATATATTAATATATACGGGTTTGTGATTGTGTAGACCTTCCCAGTCTTTTGTTTTGTCATTGTCAATGTCAGGTTTATCAAGGTTTATCAAGTGAAGCTCGCTGACAGGAATGTTCGGAAAGAAAAGTCATAGCCTTTTATTTGTATTATTCAGCTCTTGATTTAATTCATGTGTTTTTTCTTTTACAATTATGTCAGAAAATTGGTATCTTAAAACAATCTAAATGAATAATCAACCACATTACATTTGACATGTCCCGCTCCTCTATACTTACCTGTGAAGTGGCAGTCGTCGCGGACTTTTCCATTGAACACCTAGTAGCATTCTTAGATTACATTTGTCCTTCATACATTAAATCAACCAGCGGTTTCTTAACATTAATTTTTCAAAAATATCAGATTTAATATTGCCCAGTTGCTCAATATGTTTTCTTCTTTTTCCATACAATCCTCACCTCTCTAAAGTTAAGGTGTTGACGTTTTATCAGTTCTATTTGCAACATTCAACATAGAACCGCACGGTTGGTGTTCTTGATAAGACTGTTTAATCCCGTCATGAGACTTAACAGTTTTACATTCAAAGTCACCGTATATGACAAGTGGACATTCTATTTTAGTATGGCATTTGTCAAATTCAATACAAGCACCTGCTTTTAGGTAAATATAAGTTTTGACCTTCATTTGTTAAGCAACCAGTATTGAAATCGTCATCAAGTCCATGTTTAGCTGAATAAGGATTGGAGCAACCTTTATAAATATATTTAGGACCATTACAGTTGTTTACTTAATAATTTGGTTACATTTTTACTATAACGCAATGAGGCCTATGTTTATCATCATAAGGGTTGCACGTTTAACACATCAATATGTAACTTGGCATCTCTAACTTTTGGACTTTTTGTTTTGACTACGTTTTCATTTTTGAATAAACTATCAACTTGAAACACATTAGCAGAAATCGATCCTTTGTTGTTTTCTTCAAGTCTCAATATCTCCATTATCAGCAGGAAAATTAGCAACATCCCAGTACTTAGCACAGTCCCAGTTTATCATTTTTCTCACTCTATTTTATAAGAGGAATATTTCTTCTGGGTGATGCTTTCTGATTCTATGAAGGACTGTAGATGTGAAGACAATATTTGTCAACATTTGTTACCTTTTTGATGTTCACACGAGCCTCTTTTGGTTTTATGAATACTTGTACTTCTTTACATCTCCTACTAGTAGTGTCATATCCGTCATTATGAATCCTTATTGAAATTGTGTTCTTAAATTGTTAGATTTGACCTAGAGCCTTCAATTTGTTCTATTTGTAGCAACATGTGTTTTACACTATCTAAATTCGCTTTATTCAAATCATCTTCATTGTGAACATCAAATCGTGTAGAAGGCAATTTTAAAACAATCGTTGCTTCTCTTGCTTCATCAACATCATGGCCATCACCATTAGGCGAACCAAATAGTGCTTGTGTTCTTATATTGAGTTTCATTTTGCGGTTATTCTTCAGAACATATGATAATAACTATTTTTGATGAGATATCATGTCTACTCTTTCCCTAGTTCCTTATTAGCTGTTTTGCGTATTCAGCCTGTTCATTCTTAAGTAAACAATATATATATAAGGTTTTTTATACTATAAAGTTACAGTACATTATTTTTTATATCATCAATCAATATTTCTTTCAGTCAAAACTCATTGAACAATATACTTCCGAAATATTAACTCATAATGGTATATATATTTGTGAGACTGAACAGGAAGAAGAAAGGATTAATGAATTCTTGAATACAATTTGTGTATATAAATGATATGTTTAAAGTTTGAACGCACAACCAATAAACTTACCTTATGAATTAGAAGAAGAGCAAGTTGAATTGATTAAACTAAATGTGTCAAAAGCTATTATCATTAACAGGTCGAATTAAATATATAGAGTGTGAAGGCTGTATTTGTGTAAAGGAGATTACCCAAAATTGTTCAAATAACAAACACATGCAAATCAATTGATGGATTAATAGTTGTGTTTGTTAAATAGCACTTCTTTCCAGATGAGAAGTTGCTACAAAAGGAGTCAGCTTTTCATTTGGAAGGATTCATTGTCCTAAACACATGTTCAATAAAATGTGTAAAAATAGTAGTCATTAAAGAAATCGTAATTTACCATATGCAAGTAGAGAAATTCAATCCAGATAGACAAGAAATATGGAAATCATGTTTGATGTAATCAGTCTGTAGAATGTCATGTTTTTATAGCAATGCCTTATGATGATGAAGACATCCCATAATCGTAATAGAGAAATATTGTTAGAAGGATGTTTTTATCGTTTTTGGCGCTGTTGTTTTGCGGCCTTGAACCTAGGTAAACATGAATGTTGTGATATGACATGTATGCTGATGTGATCTCATGATTTTCATATGAGGACATTTATGAATGAGTTGTGAGACTGCTATAAAAGGAACGCTTACCAGAACCCCGCGTATTTTAGCATTTTTTTTGGGGGGGGGGCTGAACGTCCTCCCACAGAGTACCCATTGCTTGCCATGGGCCAAACTGCCCGCGTTTACTGCCAAAATATGTGTAGCCGGCGCTTGTTGAAACCTTGAAATCAGGTTTGCAAAGACCAACCGTGCCAAACAATCATATAAGGCTGGTGAACACTAATTTGTTTTGCCAGGGGCCCTTAAATTCTTATCCTTGAGTCTTCATGTAGACAATCCCTTGCAAAGCATACCATCTCAAAATTTAGAATTCCCCTACGATTTGCACCAAAGCTCCATGCATTTGTTCAACAAATTTCATCTGAAACATAGAATTTGCTTGTGATCAGCATCAAAACACAACGGATTTCTGATGGGAGGGTGGGCGGAGGATCCAGAACTGGCTTGTGATTAGCATCAAAACACAATAGATTGCTGATGGACTGGTAAGGCGGGGAACCAAGACATGTTAGACAATGTTAGACAAGTGGACAACAACTCTCTCTCTCTCTCTCTCTCTGTGCCTATACAGGTTTTGTCGGAGTTTCTATAACCCTTTCTCTTGTGGAAACTTCCGCCCCAGTGAGGGCATCGCAGAGAACAGTCGCTCAAAGACAGAATCTTTCTAAGGATCAGGTGATGTTGGACTCCATCGAGAGCGTACCCTTTGATATAAAACTCTTCACTGAGCAGCTTGGCTTCACTCCACTGGCGCAGCCGGTTGTTTGGTGCAGGACCCCTGGGGAGTTTCTTGTTGCGTTGCTGCCGCCGGCCATTTCTGTGTAAATGATGCGCAATGTTCATGTTTGCAAACAAGTTCAATGTAACCACCCCATACAACCACCCCATATTTTGACTTACGCTACTTACGCTAGATAATAGGAATGCGTGCGACCCAAGCCTTGAATACCATAACCAGCCAGTTTAAGACCAACACAATGTCCTTCCTCAACAACACTTAGAATAAAGGCATTACGTAAAGCTTTGGCGGACAGTGCAACGGTTGTCGAACAATTGAGCCGACACTGGTCGAAGACCCTTTTTCAAACCTGAAACAGTTGTTGCAGTCGGCCAAATCCAGTGCGCATTCTGTGTTGCAATGAATTGTTCATCGTAACTGGTGTTCGCTCTAAAAGTGAATGTTTGCCGGGCTAAAAAGCAACTTGTTTATGGAACCACCAAGGGATGCTAGCGCTTCAGAAGGCAGGTATTACTGTGGGGTGGCAAGGGCAAAGTATTACATGGAAATGAACATGCTTTCTTGTTCGATTTTCAGGATAAGTAGTTATTGGTATAATATATATATATACAGCTTGAACTGTGTATTGCCTACGCCTAGGCAAGAAACAATCCTATTGAACAATTTTCAACAATGGCGGACAATGTGTATTTTTCCTGATAGGCTCCTTGCAAGTGAGTGTAGGAGCAAACAGGAATTTTGGAAGTTTCAACCATTTTGACAGTTTTGTGCTGTTACTGTTTGAACCTTGTCGCACAGGTTTGATGCCGGCAGAGTGCTGTGTTTGCTGCGAGCGCTTTGGTCGCGAGAAGGTCATCAAGCGAACACCCTGCAATCACGTTTTCCATGAGGACAGACAACAGCTTTAAGATCAAAACTGTATAACAGTGAAAACGACATTCGGGTTATAGATTCAAGTGAATGCATGTATTTGCGTAATGTAATCTGATAACCAGTCTACATGCATTGATTGAGCCTGCGGCGCCAGTGCAGGATTGCTTGGCAAGATGGCTGAAGGCGCAACACCGAAACCAGATGATCAAACCGCAAGAATAAGTAGCAGTCATACTGGCCTGAAACCATCAATCCTGTGCTTCACTTCAAAAGTATAGAAGCTTGGAAAAGTTGTTGCTACTTGTCCAAATTCACAACGGACCAAAAGTTGCATTTTTTGTGGATGTCAGGTCACAGACTCCTGTCCAGTTTGTCGAAAGTCCATGCGGAAGGCGAGAGGGAAGAAGGAACACGTGTTGGACACCTTGCGTTGCCAGGGTTAGCCAGTTGTTGAGTTAACCGAAGAAAGCACTGTATTTACAACGAGCCATCCTGCTTGAAATGTAGGGAAGAAAACTCAAACAAATTGTCCAGCTGGAGTAAGAACACGTTGACTGTCATATCCACGACCAAGACCATAGAGTGTTTTTCAGGTTGAAGACCCAGAGTGGGGACCATCAGAAGAGTGCCTTGGAAATTGCCTTGGGAACCACGTGGCTTTTGCTTGAGTCCCGGTATCGAGACATGAAAATTCAAGGGGCCCTTTATCTTCTTGTTGCATTTGTGTTCTTTGTCCTTTCATTCAGACGGGCTGTTTATACTTTTGAGTGCGATTGATTTGTTTTGCATAAAGCTTCGAGAACTGGTGTTCGTGTTTGCCTTCCTTCGTGCAGCTGGCGAAACTGCAAGTGGATTCTGCACTAAATCCCTCTGAGGTGTGCCCCAACCAGTCCAACTTCCCCTGCAAGTGACGGAGAATCGTTCGAGAATACCTGAGTCAAAGAAGTGAAGATTCATTCGGCATTTGATTCAACTGCTGATTGGACTCCATTTAGTTAGTGAGTTGGTGTTCTCAAGAAAGCCAACACCAGTGTGCTGCCCAGAATCTTGGGTGAAGGCGCAGACCGCCTGTTTTGCATAGAAGAGCGAGACATATGAAAGGCCGCATGAAAATGAAAAGACTGTGAATTGAGGACGGGTCTCCAAACAAAACCGGACTGAGACCTGCAAAGTCTTCAACAGTCAACAGGCCACACTGTTGCGACCAACATTTGATGCCACGCAAGATACGACAAGCTGCAGATATTTTTGGCAGTATGGATGGAGGGTCGAGTCGAAGTGAGTTCATTGACTGCTCCACAGGAGGAAGTCGACCGTCTTCGAAGGCAAATTTGTGTCACCTGGCACAGGTTGTCAGGCATTTGGCCAAGTGGGGACGAATGACTCATGCAAGCCATTGATACAATGACCTGGACAAGGATAAATTATTGCGACGTGTGCACACGTCCAAATCATACTCTTGCACTGCTTTGATTGAAGGGGGCTCAAAACTTGCCGAATTATATATTGGGGTTTTCAACTTCACGCAACAGTCTCATCAAGGTCACCTATTTGTTCTCCCCTACGTGATTGCTGCGAAGTGCCAATTTATACATATATGACATATAGCTGGTTCCAGTCAAGCACTACCTGTTTTTCTGTCCAAAAGATGGCTTTGCCTTGGCTGGGCAATGTTGCACATGAGTCTTCGAAGCAGTGCCATGCCGCTCATATCCAGTTACGCTGTTACACCAGAATCACTTGACTCTGACGATGTCTTTGCACACGGACAGAGGTTGGTGAGGTGCGCAGTCCGTTCACTATGCCTTTGTCTTTTGTGTGTGTGCGAATGTGCTATTGCAGGGCAAATCGGTCCTTAGAAGAGGAGTTGCGAAAGCAGCAGGCGAGGTGGGCAAGCTGCGTGTTGTAGGACCAAGCAACTATTGGAAGGGCGAAAGTTGCTACTGCTACCTTCAGTCGAACTTATTCTTCTTCTGCAATTGTTCTACTTTTGTACAGTACCAACCCCCCAGTAGGCGCAGTGAAGTGATCAAATCATAGTGCCGCACATACTGTATTTGAATACGATCACTGGAAGAGATGCGGTAGACATTGACCTGAGCACACAGCTGTTGACACCAACATATACAAGTAGTTCCCCGGCAAGCCGGCGGCGGAAGTTTCCAAAAGAATAAACCTATAGGAAATGGGCATGTGGCAGGCTGATTCGCCGAGCTGCGATGTTCTTTGACAAAACAAGTTGGAACCGACCAATGGAGCGAAAGCGAAGCAACCACCGTCAACTGTCTCGCAGGAAAAACACGTTTTTCATGCATTTTTGCAAAAAACAGAATAGAGAAGACTCAGCCGCGTACTAAAGTTGTACTACAAAGTCGCCAGTTCTCAGCTTCCAGCTCCACGGCTTGCTCCGCGTACTAGAGCTGTACTACAAAGTCGCTAGTTCTCAGCTTCCAGCTCCACAGATACTCCGCGTACTAAAGTTGTACTAGAAAGTCGCCAGTTCTCAGCTTCCAGCTCCCCAGATTGCTCCGCGTACTAAAGTTGTACTACAAAGTCGCCAGTTCTCATCTTCCAGCTCCCCAGGTACTCCGCTTACTAAAGTTGCACTACAAAGTCGCCAGTTCTCAGCTTCCAGCTCCACAGATTGCTCTGCGTACTAAAGTACTACTACAAAGTCGCCAGTTCTCATCTTCCAGCTCCCCAGATACTCCACGTACTAGAGTTGCATTACAAAGTCGCCAGTTCTCAGCTTCCAGCTCCCCAGATTGCTCCGCATACTAGAGTAGTACTACAAAGTCGCCAGTTCTCAGCTTCCAGCTCCACAGTTTGCTCCGCGTACTAACGTTGTACTAGAAAGTCGCCAGTTCTCATCTTCCAGCTCCCCAGATACTCCGCGTACTAAAGTTGCACTACAAAGTCGCCAGTTCTCCAGCTCCACAGATTGCTCCGCGTACTAAAGTTCTACTACAAAGTCGCCAGTTCTCATCTTCCAGCTCCGCAGATACTCCGCGTAGTAAAGTTGTACTACAAAGTCGCCAGTTCTTAGCTTCCAGCTCCACAGATGCTGCGCCTGCCACGAAATCTGCACATGGAGGTTCACAAAGCGCTGTGCCGGCCACGAAATCTGCACCTCGATGTTCACAAAGTGCTGCGCCTGCCACGAATTCTGCACATGGAGGTTCACAAAGTGCTGCGCCTGCCACGAAGTCTGCGCATGGAGGTTCACAAAGTGCTGCGCCTGCCATGAAATCTGCACACGGAGGTTCACAAAGTGCTGCGCCTGCCACGAATTCTGCACATGGAGGAACACAAAGTGCTGCGCCTGCCACGAAATCTGCAACAAAGTGCTGTGCCTGCCACGAAATCTGCACCTCGAGGTTCACAAAGTGCTGCGCCTGCCACGAATTCTGCACATGGAGGTTCACAAAGTGCTGCGCCTGCCACGAAGTCTGCGCATGGAGGTTCACAAAGTGCTGCGCCTGCCATGAAATCTGCACACGGAGGTTCACAAAGTGCTGCGCCTGCCACGAATTCTGCACATGGAGGAACACAAAGTGCTGCGCCTGCCACGAAATCTGCAACAAAGTGCTGTGCCTGCCACGAAATCTGCACCTCGAGGTTCACAAAGTGCTGCGCCTGCCACGAATTCTGCACATGGAGGTTCACAAAGTGCTGCGCCTGCCACGAAGTCTGCGCATGGAGGTTCACAAAGTGCTGCGCCTGCCATGAAATCTGCACACGGAGGTTCACAAAGTGCTGCGCCTGCCACGAATTCTGCACATGGAGGAACACAAAGTGCTGCGCCTGCCACGAAATCTGCAACAAAGTGCTGTGCCTGCCACGAAATCTGCACCTCGAGGTTCACAAAGTGCTGCGCCTGCCACGAATTCTGCACATGGAGGTTCACAAAGTGCTGCGCCTGCCACGAAGTCTGCGCATGGAGGTTCACAAAGTGCTGCGCCTGCCATGAAATCTGCACACGGAGGTTCACAAAGTGCTGCGCCTGCCACGAATTCTGCACATGGAGGAACACAAAGTGCTGCGCCTGCCACGAAATCTGCAACAAAGTGCTGTGCCTGCCACGAAATCTGCACCTCGAGGTTCACAAAGTGCTGCGCCTGCCACGAATTCTGCACATGGAGGTTCACAAAGTGCTGCGCCTGCCACGAAGTCTGCGCATGGAGGTTCACAAAGTGCTGCGCCTGCCATGAAATCTGCACACGGAGGTTCACAAAGTGCTGCGCCTGCCACGAATTCTGCACATGGAGGAACACAAAGTGCTGCGCCTGCCACGAAATCTGCAACAAAGTGCTGTGCCTGCCACGAAATCTGCACCTCGAGGTTCACAAAGTGCTGCGCCTGCCACGAATTCTGCACATGGAGGTTCACAAAGTGCTGCGCCTGCCACGAAGTCTGCGCATGGAGGTTCACAAAGTGCTGCGCCTGCCATGAAATCTGCACACGGAGGTTCACAAAGTGCTGCGCCTGCCACGAATTCTGCACATGGAGGAACACAAAGTGCTGCGCCTGCCACGAAATCTGCAACAAAGTGCTGTGCCTGCCACGAAATCTGCACCTCGAGGTTCACAAAGTGCTGCGCCTGCCACGAATTCTGCACATGGAGGTTCACAAAGTGCTGCGCCTGCCACGAAGTCTGCGCATGGAGGTTCACAAAGTGCTGCGCCTGCCATGAAATCTGCACACGGAGGTTCACAAAGTGCTGCGCCTGCCACGAATTCTGCACATGGAGGAACACAAAGTGCTGCGCCTGCCACGAAATCTGCAACAAAGTGCTGTGCCTGCCACGAAATCTGCACCTCGAGGTTCACAAAGTGCTGCGCCTGCCACGAATTCTGCACATGGAGGTTCACAAAGTGCTGCGCCTGCCACGAAGTCTGCGCATGGAGGTTCACAAAGTGCTGCGCCTGCCATGAAATCTGCACACGGAGGTTCACAAAGTGCTGCGCCTGCCACGAATTCTGCACATGGAGGAACACAAAGTGCTGCGCCTGCCACGAAATCTGCAACAAAGTGCTGTGCCTGCCACGAAATCTGCACCTCGAGGTTCACAAAGTGCTGCGCCTGCCACGAATTCTGCACATGGAGGTTCACAAAGTGCTGCGCCTGCCACGAAGTCTGCGCATGGAGGTTCACAAAGTGCTGCGCCTGCCATGAAATCTGCACACGGAGGTTCACAAAGTGCTGCGCCTGCCACGAATTCTGCACATGGAGGAACACAAAGTGCTGCGCCTGCCACGAAATCTGCAACAAAGTGCTGTGCCTGCCACGAAATCTGCACCTCGAGGTTCACAAAGTGCTGCGCCTGCCACGAATTCTGCACATGGAGGTTCACAAAGTGCTGCGCCTGCCACGAAGTCTGCGCATGGAGGTTCACAAAGTGCTGCGCCTGCCATGAAATCTGCACACGGAGGTTCACAAAGTGCTGCGCCTGCCACGAATTCTGCACATGGAGGAACACAAAGTGCTGCGCCTGCCACGAAATCTGCAACAAAGTGCTGTGCCTGCCACGAAATCTGCACCTCGAGGTTCACAAAGTGCTGCGCCTGCCACGAATTCTGCACATGGAGGTTCACAAAGTGCTGCGCCTGCCACGAAGTCTGCGCATGGAGGTTCACAAAGTGCTGCGCCTGCCATGAAATCTGCACACGGAGGTTCACAAAGTGCTGCGCCTGCCACGAATTCTGCACATGGAGGAACACAAAGTGCTGCGCCTGCCACGAAATCTGCAACAAAGTGCTGTGCCTGCCACGAAATCTGCACCTCGAGGTTCACAAAGTGCTGCGCCTGCCACGAATTCTGCACATGGAGGTTCACAAAGTGCTGCGCCTGCCACGAAATCTGCACATCAAGGTTCACAAAGTGCTGCGCCTGCCACGAAATCTGCACATATATAGAGGTTCACAAAGTGCTGCGCCTGCCACGAAAACTGCGCTTCAAGAAACAAGTGAAAACTCTAACCACAATGGAGTGACGATTCCGAGCATGAGCATGATCCGACCATGATCCAACCATGACCCGAGACCGTCTCGCACACATCGTTCCGCAAAGCTTGACTGGCCAGCTTCGGAGCCACCCTGACTATTGAAAAACATAGCACTTCGCGCGTCCGCTATCTCTCGAAAACCTATTTTATATTGCGCCTGCCACAAAATCTGCACCTCAAGCTTCACAAAGTGCTGTGCCTGCCACGAAATCTGCACATGGAGGTTCACAAAGTGCTGTGCCTGCGACGAAATCTGCACATGGAGATTGACAAAGTGCTGCGCCTGCCACATGGAGGTTCACAAAGTGCTGCGCCTGCCACGAAATCTGCACATGGAGGTTCACAAAGCGCTGCGCCTGCCACGAAATCTGCACTTCAAGAAACAACTGAAACCTCTAATCACAATGGAGGGACGATTCCGAGCATGATCCGACCATGATCCGACCATGACCTGAGACCGTCTCACGCACATCGTTCCGCAAAGCTTGACTGGTCAGCTTCAGAGCCACCCTTTCTATTGAAAACCACAGCGTTTTGTGCGTCCGCTATCTCTCGAAAACGTTTCCTCAAGCTTCACAAAGTGCTGTGCCTGCCACTCATCTGCACATGATGCTAACTGGAGCTAGAGCTACCTGGAAGAGCTAACTGGATGATGAGTGGTGTATGATGAGTGGTGTCTCATGAGTGGTGTATGATGAGTGGTGCATGATGAGTGGTGTCTGATGAGTGGTGTCTGATGACTGGTGTATGATGAGTGGTATGATGAGTGGTGTCTGATGACTGGTGTATGATGAGTGGTATGATGAGTGGTGTATGATGAGTGGTGTACTGATGAGTGGTGTATTGATGAGTGGTGTATTGATGAGTGGTATGATGAGTGGTGTATTGATAAAAGTTAATTTCGTTGCAACTAGCTGTCAAATCAAAACAACTAGCTGTCAACGATATGAGTGCTCAGCTACCATTGGGCCTTGTTCTTCCAATGGAGTCTGTGGCTTCATGGATGTCTGGGTATGGAAAATGGATAAGCCAGAAGGATTTGGAACAAATTTTTTGCTGCGCCAGAGGGCATTTTTCCCGAAAGCATTGCGAAGGGTTCTTCCGGAAAATCCTTTGAACACTGACACTTCGACACTTACACTTAGACACACCTAGACATTGACACTTTCACCACACTGGCAGGATAAATAACATGAACGCTATACGTAGCCCTGTCAAAGTATGCAAGTGTAAGTATGCAAGTGATGAGTATGCATGCAATGAGTATGCAAGCATGCAATGAGTAGGCAAGCATGCAATGAGTAGGCAAGTGAACTAGCCCGGGAGATGTCCTAATGAAAAAACATTTCCCCACTTTATAAATTCTCTCTTAAAGGCGGAGGGTGGGACGAACAGCGTCAACCGAAAGTGCAACCCTCTGCGGAGATCGTGCGCGTCGAGCGCGCGAAATGCAGGTGAGAGTGCGATGTGCCGGCTGCCCGCGCAACCCTCTGCGGAGATCGCGCGTGTCGAGTGCGCGAAATGCAGGCGAGAGCGCGATGTGTCCGGTCCGCGCGCAACCCTCTGCGGAGATCGTGCGTGTCGAGTGCGCGAATGCAGGCGAGAATGCAATTTGCCGGCTGCCCGCGCAACCCTCTGCGGAGATCGCGCGTGTCGAGTGCGCGAAATGCAGGCGAGAGTGCGATTTGTCCGGTCCGCGCGCAACCCTCTGCGGAGATCGTGCGTGTCGAGTGCGCGAAATGCAGGCGAGAGTGCGATTTGTCCGGTGCGCGCGCAACCCTCTGCGGAGATCGTGCGTGTCGAGTGCGCGAAATGCA